TGTGTGTGTGTGTGTGTGTGTGTGTGTGTGTGTGTGTTTGTGTGTGTGTGTGTGTGTGTGTGTGTGTGCGTGTGCGTGTGGAGTGAATTTGCAGTGTATACTTCCATCTAAATCGATTACCACATTGCATACTCTGTATCAAACCAAAATCTCAAAGTCAGCATGATAAGGATCAAAACAGTAACAGGTGGATAAATGACGACATTGATAACTACATAGAAAAAAGCTGCATCACATGACACCAGACGAAGCTTCAGCGGGGTAAAGCTGCAATGCAACCGCAACCGCAACCGCAACCGCAACATCTCTCCAGATGATATATGCACTGATCGCCTCTGGTGCCAGAGCAAAGCTCCATCAGCACCTACAGCCTTGTGATAAGGACAAGCCCTGCACATCATCCGCCCGTGGCAGCTACATCAGACATGTCACTTTGTACCCCGCTTGATCATGCCGTGATCCGCACGAACAGGTCAATCCGACCGTTGCAGAACATTATCAAGCAGATAACTAACTAGCTCTTCACCCATGGACGGAATAAATCCACCTTGCTTGATTTCAAAGCTAATTAATGTATTGTTGGCATCGATCCCGCCACTTAATGACTTCCATTATTCGTCACGTACTTCCCGTATTGCTCATCTCCGTGACTCAATTCAGGGCGCGCCGCGCCTATCCGCTTACCGGGTGACCAGTGACGCTGCTCGAATCATCTATTTCTTCAGGGCCCCAGATTAACCTCTGTCAGTTCGTCGGCCGGGTGATCTCTCCCCGGTGTTCTGGTGTTCGACGCGTGCGCCTTGCACGTGCGGACCTCATGACCATGCAAAGCTGAGCTCTTATAATGCCAGTGTCCGGGTGTTGTTGAGATGTGTCCATTTTACCGCATCATGATTAGTGCTTGCCTTGTTGGTGAGCTTTGGGATTTATTGTCGAGGAGGGTTTGAATACTGGCTTTCAGTCGTTGTTACTTTGATACCTGGTTCTTTTGGTTTCTGCCTGGAGGTATCACTCTTCTTTATTATCGGTCCTTACCGTTGCTGTTCCCCCTGATAATCGATTTACAGCTAGAGGTCTGCCTGTTGATATGCCACACTTGGTTCACCACCGACGACGCCACTCCTGGCCATACTGCGGTCCTGGGACGCAGCTGCGCGAACGGCGAAACCTGCCGTTGGTGATTCCCGAACAACAATTCTTGACACCGGTGGGCTCGGAGGATTTACTTGAAGATGATGCCGCATCTGCGGGCATCGTTCGTTCCAAAACGGCACGACCACACCGTCGTTGGCTTGCCCCATGGGATTCCACCCCGCCCCGGGCATCGGGGCACGTCGCCAGCCCGGGTATGGGATCAGGCTCGGGGTCACTTCGGAAAATGATCCGTCCGCCGTTGGATAAGGCGCGATCGCTCTTTGTGTTGCCTACCACGACCACGGCCGGAGAGAGCGTGCTCATCTCATACTGGGTACCTCAGGGAGCTCCTGTTGCGCCGGTGGCTGCGCCGATGTCTGGAAGAGGGAGGGTTTCGGGTTCCGAGACCGGGACTGGATACTTGTCCGTGGATCGCTATCATCGACGATGCCATTCGGAGCAGCCTCGGTCTTGGAAAAGGCCAAGCGCGAGCTTGTGGCCACTTGAGGAGGAGTAGCCATAGGCTGTTGACATGCTATTTCTACCTTCTGCGCCCGAGGCGAAGAAATATATTTCTTCTGGCCTACGTGGCTCTTTACATAGGCGCTCTCAGCCAGGTTCTGTTACTTTTTATTATTTTTGCGAGACTTTTCTTCAGGTTGGTTGTTATTCCAGGTTCGTTGTTCTTGCAGGTATTCATTGCATGGCGAGGTTGCTTCAGGCGTTGGGATATCGTGCATGTGGCGGATTGTTGTGGAGCGGTTGCATGTCTGATTCCATGTTGTTAGCTTTATCAGTAGATGTTTGAAGCCAGAAAATCATAAAGACGGCCTTATGACCGGCCTTGTCGCAGCATAACTCCCTATACTCTATACTACTCGGAACGGCGTGCCGACTCCTCCCTTGGCAACCAGCACATGATGTCATTGGGTGGATGCAGAGCCTCAAGTGGGTCGTTCCCAAAAGGGAGCCCGCCTGAGTGTTTTCCCGTCGACGCGCTGCCTCAAGCCTCGCGCATTCTCTTCCCAGGCAGCGCCATGGTATTTCCCTCAGGGCACTGCTCGAGGCATTTTCATAAATCGCGCAGTTGGAGGGCGGCATTTTCGCAATCTGAACAGGGGTCGTGTTTCAAATAGCAAACTTTCGGCGTTCTAATTAAAGCAGTTCATTTCGCTGGATTGACGGTCGCCTGGACTAGCGACCGGGGTCAGTTCCGCCCTGTAAGCCCTATGTCCCGTCCTAACCTATTCTGCCCGTAATCTCGCTGGTTTGGCACTTGGCAGTCTACCAGGTGGGGGCGGAATTTCTCCTCTCACCAGTTCTTCTCGTGCAGCGCATTCTGGAAAAATGCTTGGAATGTGTTTTGTCCCGGATGGACAGCGATAACCGCATTCCATCCATACGGAGTACCTATCAGCAGAAGACACAGCACCGCCGTAATGCAGACGCCCGGAGAAAGAGAACAAGGCAGCCGCAGCTGGAGCGGTGAAATGGAGCCTCCTGATGGGTCACGCCCGGGTGACAGGCAGGTTGATTGGCGGGCTCGAAAAGGCCATAGGGCAGAAGCGTGGAGACGACGAAGATCCTCACCGACTCAGCTCCGGTCCGTGACTCAAGAAGGGGCCGTCGGAGCCCTATCGATGGAGCCCCTCCATGCTGGCACTCTCTTATTCGTCCGCTCGGGCTAGACGGCAGGGGTCATGCCCCGGATAGGCCAGTGCGGCTTCCAGACAGGCTCGGTTCAGCCGAGGGGCAGATGCGACTTAAATTGGCCGTTCCCCGTCTTGGATTCAGCCCTATTCCTATCTACTTCTCTCCTTCTCTACAGTTTATATCGCTGCACTAGGTATGGACGACTATCAGACCACTCAACCCAACACCCTCAAACGCGCCCTTTCTCAGTCCACCACGTCCTCCACTTCCTCCTCCACCACCACCACCACCACTCCCTCATCACCCAACACCCACATTTCCAACAGCAAACCCCGCAAAGCAAGCCGGCTTTCCAGCGTCAAAGACTTTCTTCGCTCGCGTTCCAACTCGCCGACCCTCTCAGATCACTCTCCCGTTCCCAACTTCGACATCCCTCGAAGCATTCCTGCCAACTCCGATCATCCCTCCACCAGCCCAACCACCATGTCTCACCGAGTCTCCTCGGACAGCCACAGCGCCAGCCACAAGCACTCCACCTCTGGACACCGCCGCAGCGGCGACGACTACCGTCGCTACAGCGGGACGGTGAATCATTACGGTCGTCACTCGAATGATTGGTTGTTTGGGGGCTTCAGTCTGCGGGATACAGTCCGCGATGGAGTCGATCGGTTGAGACATCACTCCAAGGGCTGAACCTGCCGAGATCTGCATGATTTCTATCTGATGAACTGGTTATACTTGTGTATTTCGCGGTTTCATCCCAACGCTTGTTGTCGGACCCAGCCAGCATATTACTGGAATCACCCTTGACGCTGGAGTGTCTGGATGCCAGTCTCAAACTTCAGAGGCTTCGGCCGGAGACTCACAGATTGAGTCTATCAAGAGAGCTATGATCGTGACTTGACGACTTCGGTTCAGAAGATGATCTGTTCATGTTCATCGATCACCGCTCGTCCTATGCATCAAGCAAGGAGGCTACATGCTATGGTGTGATCCATTGGATCCAGCTTATGACTTTACGATATACCCTTGACTATTTGTTGTTATCAGCTTCTTATCTATTTCACTACTTATACATTTATTCGATTCAATGACAAACCTTTTTCTCTCTACTGCTCCTCTCAGCAATGGTTCTTCGTAGCAATGTATCATAAACCTCGTCACATAACACGGAAACGAACAACCACCTCGACCTCCACCAAACCTATAACAACAGCCCAAGCAACCCTTAGGCAGCACGAATATTACTCATCCCTAATCGCACTAGTTATAGAGTCTACTCCACCCCCTTTCCCCCCTTCCTCATAACCAACTATTCATCCATCGCCTCTACTTACCCTCCCAACCAAGGAAATAACAAGCCAAAAGTCTAGACGGCCGGTGGGTCCTTCAGCTACCCATCTCGGCAACCACGCACGTGTCCACTTCCCCTTTATCTATAACAAGGGATACTAAGTGTCAGCTGGTATGACCTTCCTTGATAAGTATATCCTATAATAGAGAATTTATATCCCGACATATAGTACTCCTACACCACTACGAATCATGGGATCCACCTCAACCCTCGCACTATATATCCTTATTCGGGATAGCCACACTTAATACTCCGTAGTAAGAGTCGTATCTAGTGGGAGTAGTTATAGCCCATTTATTCTCATCTTAGCCGCAAGCCACTATCTACTCCGAAAACATACGATGTACGAAGTAGATAGATTCTCGATCCTCGATTCTTGATATCTAGACTGTAGATGATGTAGCAAGTGACCTGTCTCCTTACTCATCGGAGATAACTTCTCCGTACCTTATCTATCCTATCTTATACCTTGGAATGAATGTAGTAGTACTACCGAATCAAGTAAAATGTTAATACCCAATCACTGTTGATTATACTTACCCTTCACTACTAACTACATACTCGATGAGATGTATAAGAACGGGTAAAAATGATACGTCGCATGCAAACTCATCTTCTAGAATATACCACACAGATACTGTACTCTGTACTCTGTACTCTGTATGGATGTTGACTCGCCACCCCCCAACCACAACTCAGCTCAGATATCCACATATCTTATCCATTCAGCTACACAGCACTATCTCAAACAACGGCCACTGCCTACACAGTAAAAAAAACCTCCACCCCGCCACTGCAACCAGTGGCCATCCATCCATACGGAGTAAAGTACCTTGAAACCGTTTGTTTTCATGTTTTTTTTTTTTTTCAACAAAAAAAAAAAAAAGACGTATCACAACCCCACTTCCACTGAAGGAACCATCTACCCAATCATACTCAACGTTGACTATCGCCACATATCGCCATACCAGTGTACACTAAACAACTACCAATCGGTGAACCCGGATGTCTAGTCCTATCCGCCCCTATTATCTACCTGATCGTAGAAATCGATGATCGATTGTACTAGGGATGTAGGTGGATGGGGACCTTAGATCTAACCTCATTTCTAGTATCCTATCACCTGTTAGCAGTCAGCAGTCAGCAGTCAGCACCTAGGTACATACACACTACACAGTGACTAGAGAAAAGATCGATCGCTCCCATCGCCCCACCTGAACCCCGATCCTAACAATACTATACTATACTCGAACAAGAAATCCCCGATCGCGATTCCGATCGCGGGCGATGGCCGGGTATCTGCCTTGTTTCAGGGTGGGGTGTGTCGGGTCGGTTAGATGCATAGGACTGTAAAAAGGAGTAGCGTGGTTTTGAGAGGTTGGTAGTTGATAGGGTAGTACTTGGTCTGGCTTAATTACATGCCAACTTGGTATTTATTTATCGCGTGTGGCTCCCGGATGTGGAGATGATCTAGATTCCGAGGTTGGTTTGGTCTCATTGGATGGGGATTTAGTTGATCTTACGTGGCTGCTAGTCAGTCGATCTGGGAGATTTTATGGTTGGAGGAAATGGCTTCTCTAGTTGAGATTGTGTATCAATAAGTATAGGTAGTAGTCGTGATTCGTATACGAGATCTTGCTCTGGCCCAGACGTAAACAAAAGAAATCCTTCAATAAAAAGGAGTGACAAAAAAAAGACCGAACTCCTAGCTGATCGGGACGCGGTCTAAAAATGATACCCGGAAAACAAGTGACAAATAAAACTGCAAAGGGACAGTGATAATTCGAAACGCAAGCTCTAAGCAGATTGCCATGCGGCAATGTCGGCCGCAGTGATGTCAAGGTTTTCTGGAATCAGGCTTTGAAGCTTGGCAACTTGCGAGGGTGCTAAACCAGGTCAGTCATACATCAGTCCCGGGACGCGGTGGTAAACTTACTCGGACGTGCAGCTCCAGCGCCGGCCTGGACTTGAATGATGCCCGAGTCCACATACTCTTTCGTGGTCACCCCGTTGAACGAGGCGGCCCCCAACATGATTCGCAAGCGGTACCGGCCCGGCTGCGTGAATTTGAGAGGCCCAAATCGAGCATACCCGCTGGTGGTGTTGCCATTGCGGCTGCGCACACTCGAGGTGAGCACTCCCGTGAGCCCCGAAGCAGGCGCGGTGCCGGCTTCATTTCTCAGAGACGCATGTGCCACCAGTTGTTGCACACCTCGTGGGTTCCCCACAGGTCGAACTCCCACAACTACCGGCAGAGTCACTGGGACTCCAAGCGGGACAGAGGTAGGAGGCGCAACTTCAAAGTTCAGGCCAAACTCACGGCTCGAGCTTCCGCCATCGGCTCTTGTGCTTCCTTGAACCATGTTGACAATGTTGTACGGATTATATGTTGAAGAGAGGATAGATCACGGAATTGCTCCCAAAAGTTTGTAAAGGTTGTTGAGGCAAAATACAATCAGAAGATTGAGAGGAGGAGAAATTGGATGCAGACGATGGAATTGATGAGCTTGTCGAGTGGTAAACATCAACCAGAGGCTTCTCTCAGGCCCTTCATATATGCGTTCCCTTGACGATAGAACCGGATTCACTAGGGAGCGCTTGCCGGAGGTCTCGATCTGAACCGGGAAAGATGGTATTTGCCACCGCGAAGGAACTAAGATCAATAGATACGTGAGGTTCCAGTACCCAGGATCTGCATCAAGGTCCCATATGCCCCTAGGCTGCGGGATATTGAAGGTTCCCAGACGTTGGGTAGTGATAACCCTGCACGATCCTGCAACAGGGCGCCTGCATGGACGGTACCCGCTTGAATCATTTAATTGCCTGAGAACTAGATTTTTTCTTCTTCCACCAGATCAGCTACTTGGGGGATCTCCTGGGAACACGTAAACCTAGGCCCATTAGCGCGGCCAAGATGGGGACAAACTGGGCCATCCAAGCCAGAAACAAAGACCGAAGAGGGTCTGCGGCTTGAGATGTCAGAGTGCGAATCCATGCCAGGGGACCAGATGTGAAGCTTAACCTCACTAATTCCGGTTAGATCGACTAGTGATGATCGGATGGGGGACGATCAAGAACTATGGTTCGTGGCAGGTTTTGTTTTTTCGTCCTGCATTTCTTTTTCGGCTTGCATTGTGCCTCCATGGCTTGCCGCTCCCGTGCACCATTTTTTCTCCATAGGAAGACTGCATATGGTTTTGGAGGCGGGACTGGGCCCATGGAGTGAGAGGGATCATTCCTCATTAGTCTCCTTGCATTGGGGTCCCGGGAAAATTGCGGAGATCGAGCTAGGGATCTAGAGATACGGGTGCTGGGATCCCTTTCCCAGTGACCAAGGCGCCGGGTCCCAAATCCGGAAACTCAAATCTGCTCTTCAATTCCCGAGGATTGGCGAATCCGGCTTACGACAGTGTACCTGGACCGTGCCGGAACCACGTTTTCGACAGCTCCGGAGAGGGACTTTCTCGTGCAAACCCAGTTCCACCCGGCGCCGCCTGTACTTTTGTCAGGCTGCGATGCTGACATTTTGCAGCTGGCTGGCCTACTTTCCCATGGTGAACCAAAGGCGTCTCCTGGTGGTCCTTTCGTCTACTTGGACCAGCGGTCAGAACCAGGATCAGACCCAGTAGAGCGGATCCGTCGGACTAGGGCCTGGACTGGTCATGGAGAAGGTGTCCACCAATGAAACATTCCAGAGTCCAAACATGGCGAGGGACGATCCGACAAGGATGGGGACGGGGCGAGGCCCTGTCACAGATGGTCACATCAGAGGGTGTGCAAGAAAGGAGGGCATAACGGTGGGGAGAGCCACAAGCCCCAGGGGTTGCTTCGCCACACAACATGCCCCTTTAGGATTAGGGCGATCCACCAGCCACATATCCCTCTCCAGCCTCAGTATGGCTGATGCTCCAAGTGGGTTCCATAGACGGATGTGTGTTAGGTGGTTCGGTTAAGAGAGACTAGTGGTCTTAGGAGTTAAGACCAAACCTACGTCGAATCCTGCTGCCTTGAATAGCCTCTTGCCGGTACTCCTGCCACCGTCCTTTCCGTTCCATAGGCCTGGTGACCCACGCACTCCTCGGGTTCAGGAGACAGGCCGAGCAGTTCTGCTAAGGATGCATCCTGCAGGACCCTTTCGACCCATGGCTTGAAGACGGGAGACACAGATAGCCCCTTCCTGTTGGGATGCTAACCCGGACTAACGGTGGGTCCACTGCATGGTATCCAGTGCAACGGTATGTAAGATCTAGATCCTAGTGCCTCCACAATCGGGAGATTCTTGTTTGATATGACGGGGTGCCTCAATACTTCCTGCGGTACTATCGCTATGCTGACTTCGAGTATGCAGCCGATCACCCTTGACTGACAAAGTGGATGGTGCCATGCAGCTGCAGCATTGGGGTGGAGCACGGTTTATCATCAGAACCAGGAAACATTGGGTCTCCGGACCATAGGTTCGTATGATCAGGCCGCTCCTATGAGTCCGAGAACTGCGTCACGCGAGAGGCTGTGTCTTCCATTAGACTCTGCACTATCCAATCGCACGAGGCATCCGGACAAGGATCATCCGGAATGAGATTTGAAAGACCCTCTGCTGTTGGTAGGGTTATTGCTTTTTCACCGATACCAATCGTTGGATGCTTCAAGCTGCAATGCAATGCAAGATCGATCGGCGCTACACCACCTGCTGTAGGCTCCATACCTCGGGATGCGTGGGATGAGACATTCTCGAACCTGATTGGGCTGGTGATCTTAGTTCACTAGCCACCTGTGGCTGGAATGATGATCAACGGCCAAGGTGGCGGTGAACTTGAACCACCGCATTCCTTACGTGACAACAATTGTGGCTACACAGGACTGTCATAGTCCACCAAATAGTCCCGTGCCGTGGCGCACCCTTCAGAGGGAGAGCTTTCACCGCACCTGTTGCAGATGATGCGTCAGTTTCGGATTACTTCGGCGTCGCGGATGGCAGTTGCAAGGCAATCTGTGTTCCGTCCATCTTGTAGCTTTCCCTTCCCCCTTCTCCGTCTTCTCCGTCTTCTCCTTTAGCGCCCAGTTCCCATTCTTCTGCGTGGTGTGCCATGGTACTGTGCTTACTGACATGACTCGGCCCACGCTTTAACTCCCCGTGTGATCATTGCGATGACTGAACCTGGAAGGAGTGAGCACGCACCCAACGCTGGAATATGCTTGGCTTCGCCTACCGCTCACCAGATACACGCCCCTACTCATGTGTGGAGGCGTTAAGCCGATATGACCAGAACTTGTCCGGATACTAATGCCCCAATGATAGGTTTAGAATGTTATATGATACGCAAGGCCCACCGACCTTTGGAGGGCCCTCATCTACACGAGAACCGTACTTGGTGATCAACTGCGCAATGACTGGGCAATAGATCCCGGAACGGGTCGGTTCATTGTTGTCGATATACGGGACTATGGGCAGCCCTCGACCGAAGGTGGCGATTCCCTTTGTGAGATTCATCAACCTCCAATCAGAGCCTGGCTTCCTTCTCCAATGGAGCCACCGGCTTTGGGAATCCCATATCGTAGTGGGACAGTCGGTGTGAATGGCCACAGTTCTTCTCTTCTTTCTTTTCCTTCTACCTCGCGATCACCCTCTGGCTTGTGTCCTCTTCGCGAGCGCCTCAGGCATTGCTTTTGTGAATTGGGGCTGATGGTGGTACGACGGATGCAGTGAGCTCTATACGGTATATATCCCAGGACAAACTCACTTGAGGAGAGGATGTATAGGGTGGGGATGTTTTTCGTTGCCACCGCCATATGGACTGTAGTGCGGAGACATGAGTGTTGACTTTATGCCACCTTTGCCTGTCTGGGTGATAGGTGTGTCACATCATTTGGTGTCCGCTGCGTGGTCCGTATAGTGGTGAATCTAGACCAGAGAAGGATTAGACGATCAAGGTCGCTAAAAGTACAGGTGCGATTGACCAAGATCTCATTGGAGAATCTCTTCCAACCGGGCGCAACTGAGGCCGTCGCAGACGTCTCAATAATGTCAGCCATTTGCCATCAAGATTCCGAACTAAGAGAGGTGGCGTCTGCAGCCCTGGAGATGCTGGAACCTACTAAACCCCACAAGCAGCCGGAGGGATTTTCGCCCGTAGGGACGCGGAAATGTAGGAGTTGTCCCGGTTCTTGGTAACCGCCTTTGACCCAGGATCGGGATTTAAGTATAGACTATGGGTCGTGTAACATGAGAAAACATAATGAAAAAAAAGGAACTCCTGTCGCTGACCGTGATAGCGGGTTGGTGAATACGAGAACGCCCGGGAAGGCACAAAAAGGGGGGAGGGTCTCACTTTTCTCATCCAATTATTGAAGCAGCTTGCAAGCAGCCGCCCTGATTCCAATCGGATCTTGAGCGAAAGTGCCAAGCTGGGGCGGTCGAGTTGAGGAGTTCCGCGAAGCCGGAATTGCAGCTTTATTTGCCATGACTATTCCGTACGATTCAATAGATCTGAGCCCGCGATAAATCAAGCAATAAAGCGCGCACTTTTAGATAGAAAATATGGCATCGCTAGGAGGATCTTACAGCACTTGTGTGACATAGTAAGGTGTAGTGTGGGATGAAATGATTGATTCCCTCTGCCCAAGCTATGGGCTTGGTGTTGATGAGATAGACGGGGGAAATGAGGCGGGATAGTGAGGCGGAAAACACACCATCTGCAACGGTCACATGATCCATGATCTGGGCACTACTCCTTTACAATGTGTAGGATGGGAAACTCCTCAGGGCAGGGAAAAAGAAAGACTCGAAAGAAAACCAGAGGTATCCAAGTAGTTTGAGAGCAAAACAAAAGGTGGGAACCTCTCAGCATGTCCGAGTTATCGTTGGGCTTCAGGTATTGGGCATGCCTCTGAAATTAAACCGACCGGGATGGAGAAACCATGTGTCGATCCTCGTTTGTAGTGCAAGGATGGCTGACCTGCTAGCTATTTTTAAACCCTGGTTCCCTGAGCCAAGCACGTAGCGTAGGTATAGTCTAATCCAGCAGCTTGGTTTTGGATATGCCACTATTGCTTCTACAATTCCTTGGAAGCATGGCAGAGATAGCAACGACGATCCGAATTCGCCTCTCTGTTTTCAAGAAGTAGTTGAGTTTGCTCGATGTTGATATACGAGCGACAATCTCACTGGTAACGTATTTGCCATGGGCAACAAGAAAACCGCAACCATCATCGTTATAAACGGCCACGTCCAACCCCATCAACCTTTGCGTAGGCAATGTCATCGATGCCTTCGTTATAGTCCAGATCGATGTCGTTCTTGTTGAGGTCTATCCAATACATATGTAGCCAATGAAGATCACTATATCTTATCCTGCGACTGTAATGATAACAGATCAGTGTGTACATTGCCGTGCCCTTCTCTTTTTGCGACCACCCTCCCATGGTAGCATCTTAGTACAACATGAGGACGCTCTATGAGCCGTATAAAGAGCAAATAAGGCTGAAGTCCGCCAAAGACCTTTAGCACATACCTCACGGAAGTCTCGTGAGCTTATCTGATTGATTAAAGTTCTCAGTTGCTCTTGACAAGCGGAACAGTCATTGAAGGTACGAGCCCTTTGCACAGCGCGCATAAGTTAGTAATAAGTATAATGGTCAATCAGTGACATGAAAGCAAGGAATGTGCATACAATGCTAGTATAGCAGGTTATCGTATGTCATTCATCGATCGAAGAAGCCCTTTTTGGTCAATGGTAGAGTGGAGTGAGAATATATTTTCACACATTCTTTACCGCGCCCTGGTACTGAGGAGTTCGGTATTAACGATGTGGTAACTAGATTGCCTGCGTACAGGACCTATATATGCCTCGCATGTCAGACTCCATCAAACAACATGCTGAGGGGTACGCCTGAAGAACTAACCGCCCATAACAAGCTTGTATGAATGTCAGATAAAGGTGACCTCAGAGGCTAAAGCTCAAGTAGCGTAGATAGCGGGACGATGTTGCTGATATGCCAGGCATGGTCTGCCTCTTTGAATGATATGGCTGTCGCACTCACGCTATAAAATTAGCTCTCGAGGATGATGATGGGTAAGGAATCAAGGATGAAAGAAAGATCTAGAGGGCGGTGCATGTAAGTATGGCACCCAGGAGAGACAGCCTGAGGCGCCCCAGCCATACCTTCCTTCCCGCGCCTCGCACACCCCGCGAGGACTTCTTCTTTATATCAGGAACCATAGCTTAGCCCATACTTGTATCAGGCATATTGTTATCAGGATGACTACTCTTTGCTTGCTCTGCCCCTTGGCTTTTATCAGATGGCACCCGTCTTGATACATCCATCTTTTTCACATCTGATCTCTCGTTCACCTGGGGAGGCCCACGCGGCTCCTATCAAAGTCACAAGATACATCGGCATCAAGGTCCTCCTGCAGCTTTTTGCAGGGACTTTCATCATTTTCATTGTTGCGGTTCTCTTCTGGAAGTTTGGAAGATTCTCTCGCTTCCTCACGCGGAATAAGGTTCTCCGGAAAGGAAACACAACAACAACGCGTTACGCAAGGACCTGGTATGGATGGGTTTCCGCGAAGCGGCACGAACAAAACAAGGAGATCATTCGGAAATGTTTCAAGAAGATCTGCGATTGGGCACTTTGGTGTTCATCGAACAATGACTACCGCTGGGCCTGGTGGGATCCTGGACAGGAGGAGCTGGATAGATTTCGGAAAGGTAAAAAGACTCTGTGGTGGTTGCCGGCCTGGGTCAAAAGCTATAGCTATATTGCGGCTGATACCATTTGGAATCCCGCGCCATATCTTCGCCACGGTCGCAACACCATATCAAGACTCAGCAGGGGATCTGCTTCCCTCGCGGTTATGACTGGAGCACTTTCAGAAAGCCATATTCTTGAGCGAGCGAGAAAAAGGACAGACTACTTATCTAGGACAAGCATCGCTACAAGCTTATCCATTCGACTATATCTTCAGCACAATCGTCGAGAACTTTCAATCGGAGGGGTAAGAACGCCGATTGAGCAAAACAACTTCGCAAGGAAGAGGGATCTTGGACGGTCACACTCACACTTTTCAAGCAGCGGAACTAGTGGCCTACACCAGTCACCTTGCTCCGATAGGGCTGATGCTTCGTGCCCTGGTCTCGCAAATCGTGGTTTGAGAGCCGCACGCAGTCTTTCGCTTCCTTGTCTTTTCTCTCAAGCTACAAGGCTTCAAGAAAGTTCGATCCTCTCAAGTTCATCACAAACCACAAATATAATAGGCTTGAATCATTATTCAAGGTCACCTCACCAGATCAAAACTTCGCGCAAGTATCAAGTTTGGTCCACTTGGATGGAACTGCAGGAGCCCAAGTATGCAGAGTTCCTATGTACCCCTCCGGGAACCCCAACATCTGAGCTCCTTGCCAGTACTTCGTCCGATCACCTACCTATATGTATGCCGATACAACAAGCGCGGAAAGGGACTACTGGGAGTTCTTCTTTGAACTCAAGCAACCGCATACTCTTCGACCCCAGGAAGCGCGGTCATATTGAGAAAGGTGGGCCAGCAGGAAGCCCGATTCATGGCTCTGGCCCAAAGGATGCTTTACACACCCAATTGCGCCCGCGATATTATAGCACGATATTAAAGGTTTCTGACTGCGGAAAACTAAGTTCTAGTGAAGGAGTGAGCTCTTTTGCGCGACAAAAGAGGCCGATGCGCATGCATTGCTTAGATGAAAGGGGATACCGACAAGGGAACAACACCAGGTTGAATAGTCTATCTACAGAAAAGATTCCTATCAAAGAGCTGAGTAATTGGGAGATACAGTTCATAGATGGGCTGGACCGGAAACTCGAATGGCTCTACAACCAGCTCAGCCCGGGTCGGAGACCGTATCATTTTGCCATGCTTGCAAACCACTGGCTCAATAGAGAGACCTGGGTTGTGATTGACCCACCTACGAGGATTTCTATTGACGCTAGACGGCAGTTGGGGGATCCAAGATTCAATGTGCCATATCCCGAACCCGACTGGACCCCGAAACCGAAGTACCCGAAAATGCTACGCAAAACAGCCTGTACCCCTAGAATTGACTCCTGGAGGGTGGCTGTTAACCGGAACAGAGAGATATCCGGGCCACGCGATATTGTCAAGGTATGCCAACTCTATGATGACGCGGCGGATGATCCACCGGATGGTAAGGTTGACCCGTCGTGCTGGATTCTCCGTAAACCACCTCAAGGCATTCATATGTCAACTCGACAAAAGCAGGTATATTACGAAGGGGGTGCAGGGTGGCAAGAGACGCTTGATGATTGGCAAAGGGTCCGGCGTGGTTATCGCATCCGGAAAGCAATCCATGAAGGCAGGGTCAACAGAACAAGAGCCAAAGAGATCGCAACAGGTATCAGTAGATATTACCGTATGGTGGCGGCGAAAGGTTCTTGATATGTTTTGCTTTACTCGCTGGCGGGAAAAAAGACCAAATCAGAGTGCGACTTTGGGAGACGTGGTGCAACCGGTTATAGGCAGGTTAAAGGCGTCCGATAAACTTTGTATTTGTAGAGGACGATGTATGGGACAGGTAACAAGATGCAGCCTCTTCTATGCTCTATCTGTATTGTTATGCTGCTTCTCGCATGGTCATCAGTCCCCAACGACCGCCTATTCTTACAAGTCTGAAAATGCCATGACAAGCCAAATTGCTGAAATCAAGTTAAATCATGTGCCTTAGGCTTGAATAGTGAACATGGTAAATAGCAAGGCGAACAATGCAGTCATGGTGTCATTCCCCAATTGCCGAAACTCCGGTAATCCTCCCGGTGCGTTCACGATCCATGGAATCGCGATCATCACGGGTTGTGGCGTATAGTACAATTAAAAATCCAGGTACAAATCTGCAAAGGCTGGTGCCGGATGTTTTATGTGAGCGATCTCGAAAGCCATCCCGACACATCCTGCCCATAGAAACCGCTTAGAAACCAGGAGGGTTCACTCTCTGGCTGACTCGGGTCCACTTCGGTAGCTCTAGAAAATAACATTAGCCCCTGTTGTCTGATAGAAGCCTTCGGTTGAACCCCTCAATGGGGATGGCAGCTTGTATGCTGTAGGTCCGGAACACGTACTGTGAATGCCCTTGCGGTACTTCTTCTCCTTCTTATCGAAGATTGTGTACTTGTCCTTGGGAAGCATCTCCTCCTCGCGGGGCATTTCCGCGTACCAGCGCTCGACAGACTTGGTGGTGAATCCGTTGCGTTCCAGAGCTGCGGAGACGGTGTCGACGACGCGGTCAACGCCGCGGAGGCGCTTTCTCTGGCGGGCCTTTTGGGGTGCGGAGAGACGCCATGGGATCTTCCTATTCAATTGGCAAGCAATATTAGCGCCATCGAATAACCATACCGGATGGTAATAATCAGAAGTGCGGGATGAGCGGGAGTTCAGTCGACGACGGGGGCGACCGGGCAACGTGGGATTGCGACCTACCAAAGGAGACCGGAGAGAAGAGGCGACGAAGGCTTGAACATCATCTTGGCGATTGGGACCGGAAAGAATGACACAGGGTCCGACGAGAATGAGTGAACGAGGAAGGGAAGCTATATTCTTCCAACGGAAGCCGGCCAGACGGACGAAAATCCCGTCGAGGAGGTTTGGGAGGTCCGTGCACGGCGACCTCCGCGGGCCCCAACATGATTTCTCCCGCGATTTTTGTGAGGCCAATGAAGATGCCATCTGCCCTCACGCCGTCGATCCGGGGTCGTTCCCCTCCTTCTCCTCCGCTTCCTATTTATTGCTGCCTTCCTCCCTAGCCAATTCCCTGGCTTTGTTCCGACTTGGATGGGTATAATTAGCTAGAGTGAGCTGAGGTACAATGTCGCGCGCTACGGATTCCGGCGCTACGGCCGAGGCTCCTTCGCTGCCTTGGAGGGCCCTGTCCTCGACGACGATTTTCGGGGTCGCAGCATTATGCCGTTCATTCCTTTACGTCTGCAGTCGGCCGGAGGTGCATGGATTGGATTCGTTTCTGGAGCTCCTTGACTCCAGAGCCGATCCGACGCAGAGAACAAGAGGCTTGCTGACAGGTACGCTGCCATTTTTCGTCCGCTTGTGGCTGGGGTGTTTAGGCTAATCTCTGTCTCGTCGCATCAGTTTCGAATCATACCAGCGTGTACGTGCGTACGGTGCGCCTCGAAGGCTAAGGCGACCTGATCATCTCCGACATCAGAGAACGCTGACCATGGTCGCTTAATTGAGCAGGATGGATGATCCGATCATGTGGGGATTTCTTCCGATGCGGTATAACTTTGGGCTTGCATCTTGGAACAAACGATGGGGATTTGGCAGCCATGATATATGTTACCAAACCAGGTATGGCAATGCCTGTTCTCCAGTCTAGTTGCTAGGACTACTTCAGCGCTGACCTGACTGATGAATAGACCCCTGGCTCTTTTCTTCACCATGGGCCAAGTCCTTCCTACGCACAGATTGGCCCATTCGCCGTACGGTGGCCTCGCCCAACCCGTCGTGACCCAAGCGATCCGGTTGCTGTCGAAGGGACCATTCCCCGCCGACCCTCACATGGCCGTCCCTGAACGTCAATCATGGAGCCTGCAAAATGTCTGCGTCGATCCGTTCTCCGACCTGCCTACAGCCTACACGACTGACGGACACGACTCGCATTTGTCGCCGTCCTCCTACGCCTGCAATTCCTATTCCTGGTTCCACATCTTCCCCGAGGGAAAGATCCATCAGGCACCGAACAAGACCATGCGCTACTTCAAATGGGGTGTTGCACGACTCATCCTCGAAGCTAGCGAATGTCCCGACGTCGTGCCGATATGGCTGGAGGGATTTGACCAGGTCATGCACGAGAGCCGCGAGTTCCCACGATTCCTCCCTCGCGTAGGAAAAGACGTGAGCGTCACTTTCGGACAGAAGGTGGATAGGGAGGCGGTCTTTGGGGACTACAGAAGACGTTGGCAGGCGATCAAAGCCAAAGCCGAACGCACATCCCCCGACACCCGCGATCTTCCGCTCGGAGTATTAAACGACGAGCTCTTGTACGACACAGAAGCAATTGAGCTGCGAAAGGAGGTCACTAAGAAGGTCAGAGATCTGGTCCTTGAAGTCAGACGGACTAGAGGTCTCTCAGACGAAGACCCGAAGGAAGGTCTTGTAGAGACGTGGATCCAAGAGGGTCCCAAGCGGGAGGGCAAAATGGATGATGATTCATGGGTTCGCGATATCTGAAAGGCGTACCGCGATCCAAGCGAGCCGTGTACATTAGAAAGAACATCGAATAGACTTAACGCATGTATAAACCAGCGTACTCTACAAATCATGTTGAGTCATACTTTCGCGTAGTACTAAATGGGGGCGAACCCACCGGTGATATAATACGAGCTCCGCCGATCGAGTCAGCTCCGCGATTGTCAGCTCCGCGATTCCCCTCCCACCTCCGCCACCACCTCTCCCTGATCCTCTTCGCACCCATCCCTATGCCCAAAAAGCACAAGAAAACCGCTTTCGCAAAACCAGCCAGCACTGCTCATCATACTCTCGTTTCCTCCGGCCGTCGACACGATCACCATGATCGTCTCCGATCATCTCACGCCTCATCCTCTGCCGCGGAGCAGCCCTCCGTCAACGAGCTGATCAACCATCTCCGCCGCACCCAGGTCTCGGGACCTGAGAGCCCCTTCAGATTTGTCGCACCTCGATCTGTTCATCCCTCCTTACGGAACCTCCTCGAGCTGCCGGAAACCCCGCCTCCTCGCCCCCGTCCGGGGGCGCGGCGCATCGGGGTGGGCTCACGACGCCTGAGACGAACTGCAGGGCCTCCGCCGCCCGAAAGCTGGCTTTTGGGCAGTAGCAACCAGGATGATAATGACGAATACGATGCCGATCTCGCTGCTGCGGAGAAGGAGAGGGTCATTTACCGACTGGAGCGATTACCAGGCACAACCATCCCGCGGAAAGGTAGCCTTCTGGATACCGTGCTGAAGTCGATGGCTACATACTGGGAGTGGCATCTCGAGTACGATGGACCGTTCTTGACGGACCTTCCGAACCATGTCAAAGTGCGTCTACTCAGCTACATTGGAGTATACGCAAGGGATCGGCCATTGGGTGGGCTGATGCGTGGCCTGCGACCTTTGTTCGAGAAACACCGCGCCGCAGACGGACTTGATATACTCCACGACAGCGATTCCGAAATCACCCGCTTAGACTTGGGCAGCGCCCTTGGTCGATGGCTGAGTCTGAAACAACTTTCCGCTGAACTTCTGGTTACGGAGAAGCCGAATCCTGTTCAGCGCAAGCAGAAAGAGCCCGTCCCATCCTCCTGGGAGGAGGAATATGACGAAGAGGGAGACCACACGGCAGGAGGGTCTACCATCCCCAGTACACCTTCACATGCACTACGCTTCGAAAACCTCCGCTACCTCTCCCTTGCGCATCCCAAACCCGGATCCGTCAATTGGAACTCTCTCCTCAATCTCCTATCTCGGCTCTCCACCATCACCCATCTCTCTCTAGCCCACTGGCCCATCCCCACCGTCACTCCCAACGCAATCAACGCGCGAGTCCGCCACCCAAACCACCGCTCCCTCATCTTCTCCTACGGCGGCACAGACACCTACTCCGCCAGCGAAAACAACTGGGCCGAAGCAGCTGGTCTCCTCCGGCGCCTTTCCCGTGTAACCTACTGCCTCAAATGGCTTGACCTCGAAGGCTGTGGTGATTGGATTCCCGCTCTCAAATGGGAAGGAACCGGCCCAGCCGGCGAAACCTATGCCTCCGGTCCCGAATGGAACGGCTCCTGGCGAGACATCGAATGGATCCGTCTCGGACCAGGCTGGCTCCCCCACATCGACGACAGCGAAATACTACCCCCGGAGTTCAACAGCGACTCGCACCCCAGCGGCTCATCCTCATCCTCTCTATCCTCCCCAACACGAGCCCTAGCTTTCTCCATCCACGCCCCGCACCCATCCCTAGCCACCACCATCACCACCCCCCGTACCGGACCCGGACCCGGACCCTCATCCGACCAAGACCCAGACCACCTACCATGGGACGTTGAAATCGAGCGCATCAAATACCGTCGCGCCAAGGAACTCGAACGATTCCGAGAGACCGTCCAGGCCGCGAAAGAAGTCCAGCAATGGGTTCACCGGACACGGAGAGAAGGAAAAGGGAAATGGGTCCAGTTTTCTTTTGGATTAGATGGAATTGATGAGGATGGGTTGAAACGGTTGTTTGGGAAGGAGAGGTTGCGGTTTTTGCCTTAGTTGATTATGTTTAGTTGAGTAGTGTAGGTGTCTTGTGTGGAAATGGTAAGGTATCTGGTTGGATAGAGTAGATGGTGGGACGTTGGTTTTTGATATTCTTGGAGGCAGAACGGGGGAGGTGGGATATTAGTATTGTGATTAGAAGACATAGATTGGGTGGTTTTGGTAGAAACGTGCATTGTGAAAAAGACAGGGTTATGACTCGAATTAGTACAATGCGATAAAATGCAATGATCCGAGTTGGTTCTATATGCACGCACTATCCCAGACCGAATGTGATAACTTTTTTTCCCGTAGAATATGTACATGAGCCCCCATCAATCACTACCCCTAGTCCTGCGGACCTATTTCTTACCGCGGTTGAACGTCTTCAAGGGATCAACCTTGCGGACCCCCGAGGGCTTCCGGCCCTTACCCTTGGCGCGGTTCTTATCTCTTGCCTTGCGGATGCGGTTGTCGCTGGATTTCCGGAACCCTACGTAGCCGACGTTCTCGCTGGAGATGCCCTTCCGGCCCTTAGATGGCATCAGGTACTCGGGGATGTGTTTAAGGTGCGGTTGGATGCGGGCCGAGCGCAGCTCGCCATCGTGACGGAGCTGACGCAGCTCATCTGGGTTGTCCTCGAAGTGGCGCTTGAGTTTCTCGCTCTTGATCAGTTCCTGCCGGATCTCACGAGCACGAGCTTCCTGGACGGCGAGACGGGTGATGGCGCGGAGACCGTCGGTCATACGGTAGCGGAAGGCGTCGACTTGGCTCATCTCGAAGTGGTACGGCTTGACCTCATGGCCAAGCTTGGCTTGCCGTTTGACGATCTTTGTGAGAACGGCTTCGTCGTGTTTGGCGGTGGGGAAGGATGTGGGCTTGTGCTTTCCATACTGGTCTGCGGGAACGACGAACGAGAGCGCCATGCCGGTCTTGCCTCCACGGCCGGTACGTCCGATGCGGTGTGTGTAGGACTTGGAGTTGGTGGGGAGGTCGAAGTTCAGGACGCAGGCGACATTCTGGAAGTCGATACCACGGGAGATGCCGTAATCCTTCTGTTTGGCGGAGAGCTTTCTGCGCTTTTCGGAACGGTTCGATTTGCCCTTCTCTTCTTCCACCTCTTCCTCGTCTTCACTCGAACCCACAAGGCCAGCAGCTTCCTCTGCGTCCTCCACGGCCTCTTCAGTCTCCTTGGACTTCTTAGACGACTTTGTACCAAGGACTTCTTGATCGTCGGCAGCGATGATGATATCGTAAACGCCCTTGTTGAATTCTTGGACGACATGGATTCTGGAGTTCACGGGCAGTTCCGAGTTGAGGACGCAACTCTTCAGGCCGAACTGTTCCAGGAAAAGCTTAAGACGGTAGCAACGGTCGATGTCTCCGACGAATATGATAACCTTGCCCTTGATGAGCTGTAGCTTGAAGATGACGTACGTCAGGAGGAATTTCTCATCCTCCGCACATCTGCGCAACCGTCAATCCAGGACTTCAACTTGCACACGTACGGTATAGCTTGGACTCACCTGACAACGAACTGACTGACGCCAGCACCCTTTTCTTCCTTATCCTCCAACTTCAACACAACAGGGCTCCGACAGAACAATCCCTTCAGGGTATCCACTTCCGAAGTGAGCGTGGCACTCATGAGGAAGGTCTGTACGCCACGGGGAATGGCCTTGGAAAGCGCATTGATGTCTTCATCGTATCCGTATGAGAGGACCAAATCCGCTTCGTCGATAACGAGGTGCGTGAGGCTTTCCAGAGAGAGGGAGGAGTTGCCGAGATTGGCGATCACACGCGCGGGGGTCGAGATGACGATATCGGGATAATCAGCGAGCATGGTACGCTGCACGGCATCTGACACCTTCTGAGTCAAGTTCACAGAGCGGACGTCCTTTCCGCAGAAGGCAGCGAATGTAGTGACGACATTTTGGACCTGTTCTGCAAGTTCTCGGGTGGGGACGAGGATGAGGCCGGTGGTGGCTTTCAATGAGGGGTCGGCCTAGAATCAATCTAAAATCAGCTGTCCGCCTAGTGACAACCGAGTTTTATCAGGAAGCACTAACAGCTTTCTTCTGAAGGATGGTCTGAAGGATGGGGAGGACGTATGCGGCGGTCTTTCCGGAGCCGGTCTTTGCACGAGCTAAGATTGTCAATATGCATAAATTTCGAAACAGTAAACCTGGTAAACTCACCCAGAATGTCTTTGCCTGCGAGTGCCAGGGGAATCGCCTTGGCCTGGACAAGTGTAGGCTTGGTGAACTTCTCCTTGATCAAGGCTTGGCGCAACCGCGGGTCCAGGTTGAGGCTTTCGAAGTCGGCCTCGTTCGCATCGGCGGTCTCCTTGCCCTCGACCGCCTCGGGGGAGGGAACATCATTGGCGTCCAACTTGCGCTTCATTGTTGCGAATGTAATCCCAAGTTCGAAAAGGAGTTCTTGGGTAGGGTCTGGGGAAGCTGGTGAACGACCGGCTGGAAAGTTTTCCTCCTCAAACGATTTGGAAAATCCGTCGGGCGGTGAGATTTTCCGAGGCTCTGCTTTGGGTCGGCTCCACTTCGCTCCACCGATAAGCCTGCAGCTTCCTATCATTCGATTCAACACCAACTGCAGCATCATGTCAGAGCTTCAGTCTCAGGCAATGGCCCGTCGGGGCCACAGGTTGCCCTTTCCCTCTGGGTATGGCTTGTTTCTCTTCTTGGGGCAGTTCACTGCAGCGGAAACTGGCTTCCAGCTGCTTTGGCCCGATGAGCAGCTTGTCGACTGAGTTGAAACTGTATGGCCTAACCCACTACTCACACCAAGCCCTATACCTATATTGTTCTTACGATGTTCTCCAAAGAAGACCGCACCCTCGATCTTCCTGCTCAAGGTCAGCATGGCTACTTCAATACTGATCACCAAAATCCGCCGTGGGGTACCGTGCCAGAGGTACCGTTCGATCGGAATACGGAGGATATTCGGGCCTCTGACCCATACCGATTGGTCAAAAGCACGACGCGGAGTATTAGTGAAGCCTCACGGAGGGCGGTCTTGCCCTCGAAGTCTTTACTCGGTAGAAGCGGAGACAGCATAGCGCGGGACACCGATAGCGACGGGAAAAGTCCATTCGGGAAAGACCACTGGGAGAAACAGATACAGCGCATGGATAGTACACATATTGCCAAAGCTTACAGAGCTAGGAGCGATTGTCTCAAACAGCAGAAACTGGTCGCTACAGAAAGGCTCAAGGTGCACACGTTACGCGCATCCATGAGGGAGCAGAGGGAAGAAGAGGCGAATTTAAGAGATTCGATTGGGAGACATCTCAGTAGTATCGCCTGCTGCACGTGCAAGGCTAGTGCACAGCTCATTGAAAAGGATTATGAAGCACTCCGATCAATGGTGCGGTCTTATTTGGATTTGGAATACGTCCACGACCAAGCCGAAGATGAATTGGAGGAACAAGAACAGGAGCTCTCTCGCTCAGCGGCAAGGCTAATCTATATTTCTTACCTGGGAGTCAATACGGACACTGTCGAGGGCAGCAAGTCTAAGGGACCGGTTCGGAAATCCAAAGCCGATCTTCAAGGCCCAAATCCCAGTCCGACTTCACCGGCTAAATTTGAATCCAGTAGCACCCTATTCTCGCCGCAGTCTCATACATCCAAGTCGCAACTGCAGGGTCCGGGTATTCTCGGAGAAGACAAATACCACGATCCCGTGACTCAGATCGGGGAGGGAGTAACAACTGCGGGTCCCAGTGATTTGCTACCAGGCTTGGATGAGGCAGCGATAAAGTCATGCGGCGACCTGCCCAGCCTTGACCAAATACTCGAAGATGTTCTAGGCCCCTCCAGTGATACAGCTCAATACTCAGGCAGGCTTCGTCGAGCTGAATATGTTTGTGGCAAGAATCCGTTCAAGCTGGCACCCGGTGAGAGGTTTTCCCCGTTCGACCCAGGTGATTCCGTTGAGTCGCCATCGCAGCGGCGGGGTAGGTTCATCAACAACTGGATCCTTCATCAGCTTCGCAGCTCATCGCTGGAAAGTTCACGCTTGCGGTCGCGTCCTGAATGGCAATCGATGCGTGAGCAAGGCTTCGATGATACCGACATCAGCCGCCTGGCGCTTGAACGTTGGCATTCAGATGATACAGGCACGGTGGCATCTGGCGAGCGGACAATCATCCCTTCTCTAAGGTCAAAGGGGTGCAAAACTGCCATTTGGCGCGGGATTGGTGGACCGTCATACCGTCGAAAGAGAACCAGGTCTGTTGCCTTTGCTCCTGTGCCGCCTCTTCGCCGAATGTCGCGCCACGACACGGCCTGGGATGAGGTTTATCCAGAGGGCCAAAGTAGTCAGGACTTCAGAAGACCGTTTTGAGTGGTATGATTGTTGGTATATCACAACCTTCGTTTAGTGTGGATGTCGGATAGGCTCAAGATTGATGCATAGTTCACGGCGTATTGTTAACTGGGTATTACTTGGCATACTGCCTGCAGGTTGGATAACTCAACAGATTGATATCATCATTAAATGATACTAGTTACAATCAATTCTTTACGAGACACTATCCTTCTGGCAGTAACTGCTCTTGGTCTCAACCGTTTTATGTCCCATCCATACCCATATCACCTAGCGATGGTCGATTTGGAAAGCACATGGCTGGCAGACAATCTGTTAATCATAGACAATGTAGTTCATAATATCGTTTCGACAGCCATGATATAACAACAGAGAAACGAAACAGCAATGTAATAAAACCAGCGCTATCGTTCAATCTAAGGTATCCATCCCGACATGATCAACCCATTCCCATCGTCGCATATCATATCATGTGTCGTTCAACGTAGAGACATAAAAAAAGACCCAAAATCATTATGTACAATGGCCGCGCATATCACAATCCTAAATCCCATGTCAAGCTAATTCCTTGATCTAATCACTCTCACTCAAACTATCCCTCCGACGCCCTCGCCCTCCCTCCCTCCGATACCCCTTACTCAACCCCGGAATCGGATGATGATAACTCTTCGTGCCAGACTCCTCAGTATCAACATTCGAATACTGATATTCCGATCTCGACGGCGCCGAAGACGAGAAATCCAATGCTTCCGTGTAATGGCCCTTGACGACCGGTCTCTCGCGCTTGCGGGGACTGCTCGTTCGGGATCCTGACGATTCCGTCGGCGGGGGGTTTCGTCTCCGTTCGCGACGGCGATTGTGGCGCCTGGTTGAGGATTCGCGGGTTCGGTGATCGTGGGTGGGCGCTTGGCTGAGGACTTCTTCGCTGCCAGGGACGAAGGAGAAGTCGCGGCGTTTACTTTGTTTGCGGGATGGGGATTTTGTAGGAGGGGCAGGGTCGTAGGCGTAGTCGCGGACCTGACTGCCTGTGATTTCGCTTTGGTTGTAGTGGCTAGCTGGATTGGAGAGGTCATAGTCGCTTCCGTAGTAAGTTCCTTCGCCTTCGCGATTAATGCCCCCGACACGCGCGGCTTTCTCCTTGCGGTACGCGGCCACGTCCTCGTCGACTTCATTCTCCCAATTGACTGTCATTTCATCGTTCTTGCGCCGACGACGGAACTTCTCGCGTAACTTGCGACGACGTTTCCGTTCCGGATCGGCCGTGGCGCCCGTCATGCCTGTTTTCTCGGTGAGATTTGTGGCGGTATCAGCGTAGGTGTAACCGTCGTCGGTGTAGCCTTTATGGTAGACGCTTCCGCCGCCGAGTTTGGTGCTTTTGGTTGCGTTACTGAGGGTGCGGCCGTCGGGACCTTTGCGGCGGAGAACGGTGGATTTGTATTCTTCCCAATCGCCTTTGCGCCAGATGAAACCGCCGTTTTTGGCCCAGAAGAAGAACCAGATGGCGGCGAGGACGAAGGCCGCGCCGATGATGGCGAACAGGGCCATCAGACCTTTCATGTTGATGCTGGTGGGGGCGACGGTGCCGGAGCCGGCGGCGTAGGTTTGGCTTGATCGGGAGATGAGGTGGTGGTAGGCATTTTTGAGGGGGGCGGTGGTGGTGGTTGTTAGGGTGTTGGGGAGAATGTTGTCGGGGTGGACGGGGGGCATGGTGATTGGGTTGGAGAGGCGTCAAGAGCTGGACGCTCGAGACGGGACTCTGGATTGGGGGTGGATGTTAGATTCACTTCGTGGGACTTGGTATGTGGTGGAATGTGGGCGCATACCTTGAGGTAGCTGTCAGGACGGAGTATCGGATGGGCTTATCTCGATAGTAGTTCGATTGCGATCGATTCGGATACTAGTCGGGATGGTTGGAATGTGGATCTGGGGTGCAATGCTGGGGTGACTAGTTAGTCCATGCAATGGAGATGGTGAACCAGCTCCAATAGATGGAGAAGGGCAAGTGAAGACACTCAACGAGCAGAATGGGCGAGCACCCAGCGAAAATGCGGTGGTTGGAGTAAATGGAGAGGCTGGGGATGACGCCGGTTTGTTTGGGCGCCCGCGTGGCCCCGGCAACTCGCTGACTCAGCAGCCCTATCTTAGTTAACTATCGAGATCACCGCTACACTGACTCGACGGACTGGGAAGGACTGTCAAGGTACGGGACTTGACCGGAGACTCCATACTACTGCTTACGTTGTTTACGAAGATCTCCGATGACAGATTGCACTTCGGTAATACTCTGCGCTGGACATCTCCAGTTCCCCTCACCAAGGAGCAGGGGGCGGAAGCGACAAGGAATCCAACGTGTTGACAGCCGGGGACCCTTGGACTAGTCTTAGAGAATCTATACCGAGCCGGAACGCTGGGATTGTTGGATCATTGGCTGAGTATAGAGCTAATGGTACCGGAATCGGATTGAATCCCACACGGGAAATATGTCACGAGCATTGGGCACCAACGTTCGACAGACTGATCTGAGAGACGGGATGTCGAGGGATATACCGTTAGACCGAGGTGATCGAAGGCAGTCGTCTGAGATAACCCGAGACAGTTATCCAATATTGCATTTTTGATACGGAATAGTCGGAGAGAGAGACACAATTACCCGACTATCTGACAGCAAACGGCAGATCCTAGTCAATAATGCCTCATGGATCTTGACCAATTGCAGTCAATGCATTTCGGTGAGCTAGTATGACGCAGAGACCGCAATAAAGTTATGCCTCACTCAGCCGCAACTGGACAGGGGCCAGGACATCGCCTGATTTCAAATCGTCAGAAGTCGTTTAACTGCCGTTCTTTCTTTCTTTCTTTCTTTCTTTCTTTCTTTCTTTTTTCAGCACGGTTGATGCCACCAGCATCACACTGGCAGACGAATTGCGCCGTGGATAGTCAATCTGGTTCTGTAGCCAGACGCGTGAAAACACGACACTTTCCATATCCAATAATATGACTCACGGGGTCATGAATTACTGAGCCCCATGTCATGAGGTTGATGTATCGTTAGTGCCCGAGGAAGCTTGTTGAGAAGCAACAAGGACCAGGTTGTTTGCTTGACCAGCGCCGCTGTGGCAATGATTTCCAGGTCATCCGAGACCGGAACCCCTTAAAGGGATGGAAATTTAATGGATTATGCCGGCTGCGATCATTTTTTCATTAGCAGCTGTCTGTCACGAGTATAACAAGGTAGAACAGAAATACTGGTGGAATTTGCTGGCTTACGGGCAGTGTTGTCGGGAGGCCATTTTCTAGCGTGCTTCGACTTCATCTTCCATGCCGTGTGTTCACCGGAATCTCCACCAGGATATTAGAGTATCAGGATATCAACCAGCTAGACAATGCCGGTAAGTGGGGTCAAGGAGACTTCTAGAGCAGCAATGACTGCTCCTTTATGTCATGGTAGTCAAACTGCATGGGTTCTAATGAGACTTTTTACTGTTTTTTTTTCTTGCGCCGAAAATCCTGGATCCATGGCGCTGGAATGGTCTTGCTTGATGGATGCCTGTTAATTTCGCATAAACTTTTTGCATTTTTACATCCCAGATCCTGGATGCTGAAACTTTTTTGCCCCTCCGGTTGAGAGAATTTCACCTGCAGAGCCGGACGGCAGCAGGCGCCGCGGTGGAGGCCGTCGTTATTGGGCCGCAACGGGATTCCTGCCATCCTCCAGGACTTTTGGGCAGCCAACAAGACGGAATTCTCTCGGACGGTATGGGCTGGATCGGATTAATTATTGCAGGCCTGTGACGGTGCCTCCCGTCCGGTGCTGATCACAAGGAACAGAAAACGACGGAATCTGAGAAATGGTCGATGGTGCTTATCCCCATACCCATGCTCCGTGGTCTCCTCCGGAGGAACGAAGGTTGATTAATATTGTTAGTATCGATTATTGTTCCCAGGTAAGGTTGTGGGAGTGCCAGGCTGGTCCGTGGTTGGTTCCGCTCAGACCCAGGGTTCTTCCGATGGGGCCCGTGTTTATTTAGTGGGGGTACCTAGTGGATTTATTTCCACTTCCCTGGTGTTCGGGTGATACACCGTCGCGACCAGCGCCTCGCGTTTCTGACGCACTAGTGGTTAGGTTAGGGCCTCTAAGGGCGCGATTAAGATATCGAGGATATACAAGCATAGATAGGACCCTGAGTAATCCATCGATGCTCGCTTGGAAGCCACGATGATTGAGGCTTCATGTTACTCTGTCGACCCCTGGAACGTGCGGGTAGCCGTCAATCACGAGGCAGAGGAAATTCGATCTGTTGCTAAGCGGCACGGTGTCCCGACAGTGTCCGTCGAATGTCAAACAGTTGGACCATATCCAACTCTTAGCTCCCGCGCCTGGACAGAACAATCCCTTTGATGGTATGCTCGGGCTCACTGTGTCACTTTTGACGGGTGTACAGCGTACAATAAACCGCCATGCATACCCGCTTCTAAATCTTCTCAGATACATCTAGAATATCCTGCATGCACCCAGTGGCAGGGAACAAAGCATGTGACTCATCCGAGCCACTTGAGATATGGCCGTCCTGAACTTGTTATCCATCTTCTCAACATGGGGGCAGCAAAGTGAACCATTCGGGATCATGGGATGCATACAACGGACAGGATCGGCAGCGACGAGCAAGGTGCACACACTGGGAGAAATCTGGCCCGGTGACCGTTAGGCATTAGCATCTCGAAGCTCTGTACGGAGGAGGCAATATCAAGAAAGTTGGGATGATACCTGTACGGTCCGGGAAATAAATGCCACGCACCCGGAAGCAATGTCCACGACCGGACTGGGGATTGTCCAGGGGTGTTTACCCGTGGTTGCGTAAATGGAGTATACGCCAGATGTGAATCCCTGGACGTTTGGATAGATCCAATATTCTTTGTCATAGTGCGGTTGATTGCCTGTTCCTGTCGGCCTGATACGTCAATGGACGAACTCGATTCCGACCTTGCATCTGCAGGTGAGTTCCTTGTCGGGAGTGGAAGTATAAGATCATGATGAATGAAATCGCAGCGTCTGTGACGTATGCAAGGCCGTCGTCGGTGGTGAGAGAGCGCGCGCGCGAGAGAGGAAGTGAAGCGATTCTTGCCTTCATTCAACCGGGCGGCCCCTCCATGGCGGTATCGGACGGTAAATACTCGACCATACCGGGTGAGTTAGCGGCAGATCAGGCATCGGCTGGCAGCCAGTCAGGTTGGCATCCCCACCTCCTTGCGACATCGTTCCGGCTGTCTTTCTTCGTCGATTTGCTCCGGCGTTCTGCTTACCAGGAATCCCTCGGATGGGGGAGTATGCGAATGCTGACAGTCCTGGAAGGGAGGCGAGAATCGAAAAAAAAAAAAAAGAGGGATGCTAAGCGAGCAGGGATGTCCGGGGACGAGATGGAAAGCATCTCCGTGTCTTCGCGACAATGCTCGGCTATATCTACTAGTCGGAAGACTTTGAATCTGAGTTGCAAAGAAACGAATGAAATTTCACCGGCGGTGGATGACTCGATGAAATCTATTCGCGTTGGGTCGCGACGATAACTCTAACTGGTGCGTGTTTGGTATTTCATTCTTTCATCCGATCTGAATTCTGTAATTCCGCCTTGCATCCGCCTTTTGATTGATCTTTTTGTATTTTTTTTTTCTTTTCCTTTCTATTATTATCATGATAATCCTCATATTCCCTCCACCCGTCATCAATGATATTTATATCGGTATATCTTTTAGATCTAGAATTTTTGTATATATTTCTAATCTTGATTACTGAGTATTGTCATCCGGTCCAGGGAGGTGACTGACTGACTGCTCGAGGGATCTGGTCATTAAAACCGGTGCAGACCACCAATCTATTTCTTCCATCTTATCCTCGTTCCCCGTCATTACTTACTTCCTTACCAGCAGTCGGACCCCACCTCTTCTCTCTCCGTCTCATCATCTTTTCCCCCTCCATCCACCATCCCCTCGATTGCTCCACTAGTCTCTATCTACCTTTTTTTCCCCTCTCTCTTCGTCAGGCCCCGACAACCAAGAAAAAAAAAGTGAAGTCTACTTCGCCTCCTTTATTATCTACATACTTCCCCCCTTCCAATAAATCCCGCCAACCGCCATCGGTTACACGCTGCCCGACTGCATTGGGGACTGCAGGCCGTGGACTTTTTCTGCCAGGCATCCTCCACTCACCGGCTGCCAGACTACAACTGCAGCAGGGCGCGCTCCTCCTCCTTTCTTCTTTGCTTCGCTCCGTTGGTTCGACCCACGCCGGCCTCGTCCAGTGTCCCGCCCACCATCCACAGCGCCGCCTTTTCCCCCTCGCGCCGAACCAACCCTAGCCAACGCTTTCGCTCTTCGATGGAGACTGTGCAGTCCGTGGCCGTCGACTATTTCCACTACGCACCCACTCTTCATCGCTGACACTCAGCGATCTAGGCACGCGCCGTCTTCTGACTATTGTCTGGCCGATCTGCTCCTGCTCCTACTTCGGGTGGTTTGCTTCTGAAGTGGATTCCCGACACTGACATTACTGGGCTGAAAGGGGAGAGGGTGAAGCAGCCCAGCACCACTCCCTGCTCACAAACTAACGCCGGACACGAAAAAAAAAAAAAAAGAAAAGAAAAGAAAAAGGTCTCATTGAGTCATTCGCATGAGCAGCAGTCGGTGGCTGCTGTAGGCCACCCGGTATCTGAAAGCCTGTTGGATCACCACGTTTCACGTCATTCCCAACCAACCCCCCTCCCTCCTCCCCCCCATTTTCCCCCTTCCCCTCTTAGGGTCGGGCCTTTTTCTTGGCCGCTTTTCCAGAAGTCATGTCGAGGAAAGTCCCTCACGCCGCCTTCTGTGAGGAATACGATGAAGATGCCCATGTCATCCTCCCAGAAACCCGTCAAGTCGCCAACCTCACCTCCAAGCGTTCTAAGCCTGCCTTGAGATCGCCTGCGTCCCCCCTAGTCGATATTGCCAGTGATTCCGGGTATTCTAGTCGCACCGCCGCCACCGTCAACAGCACCCAATCTGGGCCGTCGGGCCGGAAGAGCCCTGTCCCTCTTAAATTAGACACCTCCCTCGTCAAGCGAGCTGACCTTGACCGCGTCCGATCCAAAGCCAAAGAACGTCCTTCCAAAGAACGGATCGCTCGTCCATCCCGTGAGGACAAAATGCAGGTCGGTCCTTACCCTAACGGCATGGGCCATCCTGCTGCCCATGCCCAGCGGTCCCCATCTCGGTCTCGAGGACGCGAGACTTCTCAAGTGCGGCACTATCGTGGCACTTGCTGGGAGTGCGACAATGGATTGTACCATGCCTCGACTCCGGTCGAAAGCCGACCGATGGAATACCCTTACTACATGTCGCAGCCTCCCTCGTCGGGTCAAGACTATCCTCCCCCCTCCCCGCGAGATCCTCGCTACGCTCCCAACCCGGTCCAGGACATTCAAGTGTCGCGCAGCGGGCGCCCACCCGCCCGGGGGAATGCCTCCCTCTACCATCCCAACAACCGACCTGTCAGCTTCCATGGCATGATGCCTGGTATGGGACAAATGATGTACCCACCACCATCCAACATGGGTCGCTACGAACATGGCCCTCCGCTGTCCTCGTCGGCGTATGCCAACAGCCCGTCGTACGGGCCCTCCCCGTACTCGCAGCAATCTTACTATGGTATGCCCGATTTTGTTCCCCCCTCCGAGCATCGGCAGGGACGCTCGGCTTCCAGCTCGCGGGATCAACCCCGTGGTCGCCGCTCGTCTATGTATGGTTCGCCGGTGGTTGATTACGACTCTGCCTCGGCGGCCTTCGATGACGAAGAGCCCTTGGACACCAGCCCTCCGCCGCCACCGCGTGAGCATCGACCCCGACTTCCTTCCCATTCTTCCCATGAACGCGACGAGGATTATTACCGCATGCCTCCGCCGCCCATCAAACACCGGGCTGCCCCGCACATCATCCAGAAACGCCCCGAGCCGCGAAAGGCCGTCACGGCCCCATCCGCGCCGTCCATTGCGTCCGACCGTCGCTCGACTCGGTCTTTCGAGATGGGTGATCTGAAGGATGCGTTGCCGTCTGACGGCTACGGATACCGGCGCTCCTCTCGAGAGACCGTCGTTCCTGAGCGGAGCCGCAGCTTCCGGCGCTCTGCTGCGTATCATCAGGAATCTGCGCGACCGTCTCGAGTGGCCGTTGCAAATTCGCGCCGCCGTCAACCAACCATCTACGACTTCCCCGACGATGATGAAGACGAGGATGAGGAGGATGATGATGATGAGATGGATGTAAAGCAGCGCGATGCAGAGGAGTATCAAGACACCACCCGCCAGAGCAAGGTGCCTCCGGCGCCGCCCGTGCCGTTGACCGCCGATGCTCTCTACAAAGCCAAAGCATCCCACCGTGCCGAGAGCGACAGTGGAAGTCAGAAGAGCCGCTCAAACAGCAGCCGAGGCAGCGATGCCCGAACCCAGAGTGGCAGCAACGCCGGGTCCAAGCCCGAAGAGGACAACAACATCGTCATGACGCTGAATGGGGTTACCATGAGTTTCCCGCAGGATTCTGTGGGCGGCAAAAGGATCAGTGTCCGGACCGGCGAAACCGGCGCGGTCGAGCTGAACATTGAAGGCAAACAACGGCCGAAGAAGTACCTCACCAATGGGTCTGAGTACACTGGCAGCGTGGCCCCTAGTCGGAGGGAGATTGAAGACCCCCGGCGGGCGCGAGGTGACCGCAAGTCCGATCGAGCCAGTCACCGGTCCAGCCGCTCGACCTACGGTCGGTTCTAGTTGGCTGGATGTTATGCCACGCTTGTCTTTTGTTCACACTTCATGGGTTAGATTTCTGGAGCGACGAGCGCTGTTTGCTAAAAAGTTCTTCTATTCTTCTTGGGCGGTCATTGTTCTGCGGAACTAAGAACAGTCAAATGCCACACACGTCTGATACATTCTGTCCTGGGTCTTGGAAAAGTTGAAAGGGTCGTTTTGGAGAAAAGAGGTTGCTTTGTCATGGGAGGCTTCCTTGCATTGAATGGTTCTTGAATGGTTTCGGTTTCGGGTGTTATAAAGAGGAGGGGCGGGTTTCACCGATCACGTCCATCATGGCGACATGAATGTACGATTCTGATGACCTGCATGACTTTTATGTTTGATGTTATTATGCCATGTCATGTTGATGTCATGTTGATGCCCCTATTATGTCCTGTCTGCGATTTCTGTTGACGTCCGACGTCTGTATCATTTCTTCATGCCCCCCCCCCGGGGTTTATTTTTTTTTCTGATTGCTTTCTCTGTCGTCAGCTTGAGATGAGTAGGAATGACAGAGGAAGGTATACCCCGTTTGTTGTATGTCTTGTTTGCTTGCGTCATTTATTACCCCAATCGTTGATTTCTCCTTCAGCACGTAGTTGGGTCTTCCCAGCTTGTACCCTTGTTATCTTCTTGATACCTACCCCGTTGATGATTCTATCATTGTTCATGTTTGGTAGATGTGATGTGATGGGTACAGAGCTAAGGATGCTACTTAGCCAGGATGTCCCATCTGTTTACTTACGATGTTGTTGTGTCTTCAGCGATTGTCTCAATACCCTTTCTTCCTCTTCCTCCTTGCTTGTTTGCTTCAATGTTTTACATACCCACCACCACTACCCTAGCGAAAGAGAAAAATGAAATAAACTCCGATACACATACATATGAGTAGTAGTTATATATACTGACTTAGCATTTCGTACAACGTTATCAACATCATGATAGATACAAGACCACGTATTCGTACACCCCACCCCACTCGACGATATAGAGACACCCATATCCATCACAGGACAGATCATATCCAGCGAGCGCCCTGTACCTCTAGAGTAACGGAGTAGAACTCCCCTCCTATCCCATTCCTCTCATCACGAAAGAATAAGACCACGAACGAACACACGAATAGACTGACTCGTTCATCGTTTTATTCATTCATTCATTCATTCATCCCCACCATCCCCAACTCTTCAGCCCAACCTCTTCCTACACAAAAAGAGAAAAGGGATTGAAAATCTACGTCCGTCTCACCACCAAAACTAAATACCCAAACAACCGATACACCGCAATAATCCCAATGAGAATACCCACCCACTTGCCCGTCCGACCCGTCGCGTACCCGTATTCGTGAAGCACGCCGGTGCCGCGGATCTGGCACTCCGAGGCGAGATCGGTGCTGTACATGCAGGTGCAATCGGCGGCGCAGGTGAAGGTGCGGTGTTGGAATTCGTTGACCATCATGCCTTGGAATACATAGGCCTATTTTTTTTTTATTATTATTAGTTGGGGTGGTGCCTTTGGGGGTGGGGGAGATCGGGATGGG